ATTCGGACTAAATTAAAAAAAAAAATCAAACGAATTATTTGCATCACCCGGGCAATAACAGTACATAATAATAAAGCACGATCAATGAAATGTAGATAAATAGGTAGGTATAGCTACATAGTAGGTGTACACACACACCTACATATGATGTGTCAAGTTAAAAGAGACCTTCCCACCTTTAAAAAGTTTAATTAAAGTGATGGCATTGAAGTGATGTGTTATGGTTCAAAAAGAGTGAACATGAATGTCTACCAAATTTCACCGAAAAGTTCTCACTGGTTTTGAGATATAGGTAGTACTTTTATTTGCTTATTTTTGGGGGGCCTCCACTGTTCCTATGACGTCATTTGGAAGCTATTATTTGGTATCAGCAAAAGTCAGCAACAATCGGCAAAAGTCAAATGCATTTGAGGGGTGCAATCTAAAGTAAAATGACCAAAGAATGCACTGATCACAAAGTTCAGATGATGTGAAACAAAAGTTACCTATTTAGCAAAATAAATTAATTATCTGGGGCGTCTTGCCCCAGGCTACCCCACGTAAATCCGATTTAGGCACGACAACAACACTCTGTCTCTGAAACATATTTGCATCCAGCTAATAGAATAGTTGCCAGCGATCAGTGAACCTAGTGCAGTGTGCTACACTGCTGCACTCTGCAGCGTAATGTCGGTCGGTGAGCAGCTCAGGACCGACCTCCTAGCGCGCTCTGTCGACAATCTGAGGTACTACGACCTGCTGCAGCACCAGCGCCATCTCGCTCGGGATAATCGAACGGCAGACCATCCATTCTCTCACCGTTCCGTGCTTCTATCCTCAGGATACTGAAATCCTTCTCCTCCACGCCGCAACCCCCTCCGGGCTGGACAGGCAACTTTATCTCATGCGGGCTGCTCCCTTGGAGCGGCACCGCTGCTCCCGAAGGAGCGCACCCCGTAGCCGGGTGCAGTGAGTACTTTGGGGCTGGTCGGCCTGTCTTTCGGGACGGGCTCAGCCCCGGTGACTCACTAGGGTGCCTGCCCAGACCAATGTCTCCCCCTAATTCTTATCATCCTTCCGGCTCTGAAATGGTCTCGTCAGACCGAAAGGGCCTAACCCAACAAAACAAAAAAAACAAACATCCATCCTCTTAGAAGGTGCAGGAGCTCGGCTCAGCCAGTCCGCCTCAGTCCCCAGTATCGTAATACGGCAGTCGCGTCAAAGGCAAGACGACCAGTGATGAGTGAAACTCTACATATGACGCTTGAACGCCGTCCGAAATTCAACTTACCTAAAGGAAATGTATCATTTTTGACATGTGGTTTAACTTGGGTTTATCATCGGTCTATCATTCACCCTTTGGCAAAGATATCCCGTTGCTCATTCCGAAATCATTCCCTTGCACAGGAATGTTTCCCTTACGGAAGAACGTCAATAATGCAGCTACCGGTGGCAGAGGCCAATTGTCAGCCACAAGTAATCAGGCATCAGCATGCAGTTGGTCGGAGCTACTAAAAAAAATCCTTCGGATAACACAGACAACAGAAGATTCGAAATATATGGCAAAAATGAGCCATGGAGCATGTGTCACGTGACCCATTCATTGTTAACAATTTCCGTACCCTAGCCTAACCTAGCCGTGACCTCTGCACGAATACTTTTGAAAAGTAGGGTAAGGTGCCTGATTAGCGGCCCTTTCCGATTAGCGACCTCCCTACAGAAAAGCTGGAAAGAGAAATCGGGAAAAAACAATGTCGAAAGGTCTGCCATACTTGTTTAAAAGGTTAAAATGTTATCAAGCTAAGTTATTTTTCGGTTGTCGGCGCTTCCGCAGGGACGTTTTAGGTGAGTTAAAGTAAAAATAACCAGTTTCTTATCCAAAACGTGTGTATTTGGGGCTTGGCAGGGGCGTCGACACCGCACAGTGGGCCGATATGCCATTCTAGCGCGACAGGGCCTGAATCTTCGAACGGAACCCTTGGTTTTTCGCGAGTAATTCGCGTAAAAAGCGGCCGATCGCAACGAAACTTTCAGTACCCTCGCGATAACTACTTTTACAGCTAACCTGAAAATTTCATGACCTTGACCTTAATGATCTTTGACCTGTGACCTTCTTTCGAGACCATGTTTGGCCGGAATCGCGATTCAGCGTATGTCGGCTCGCATTAGCCGCGGGTTTGCAGTCTTTTCTTGGTTTAAAGCGTTCAAACATGGGATATTATGTTGCTCCCATGCATTAGGGTGGGTGTCAAGGTCACCAGAAGGTCAGGTAAGGTCATTGACCTTTGATGACCTTGGTTCACTTTTTCGAGTTTTACATGTTTCTAGGCTAGTTTTTGGAGCTGAATTCGAATCTAGCAACCATTTGAACATTTACTATGTAGCTTTGGTGCCTTCGTAACATGTTACAAAGCTGTCAGAGGCGGTTGCCACCTACTGCAAATACCCGGCAAAACCCTTACTGGTTGACCTGACCTGACCTGACCCGACCTGGCCTAAATGCATGAAGACATCATCTATGATCGTAAATAACATTATATTCGTGATCAGCACCCAAAAAAACCATAGCAGACACCCTTTACGACGTTCTAACAGGTCCCGATTTTCCCGACTTTTGGGTCATTGACCTGACCTGGAAGGTCAACCGATGACTAAGGACCTTACAATTGGGTATTATCAGCTTCCTCTTGTCACGGGCAACACGCTCGTCTTTTCCGCGAAGCTCTAGCTCGATCAGGGGCGAAACGGCGGGGGGTGGTCCAACGGACCCCTTCTATACGTTCGCGGCTGAAAAAACACCACTAGGGGCGAGGGTTAAGCCAAATCTGAGGGCTTATTTCAGAAAGACCGCTAAAAGAGCAATTGAATGCACTTTTCCGCGACGATGTAGCTCTATTGGTCCCCGAGGTAAGGGCCGGTTTTCGAGAAATGTTGATATATGCAACATTTTACCTTTGATGACCTCTGGTGACGTGACCTTTGACCTGACCTAGAAATGACTAACTACTCCATCTGGAATTTCGGGCGCTCTTTCGAATGCCACTTACTACGTGTCGCTATGTGGCCCAAGAGCCGAGTTAGAAGGGGGAGTGTTCAATCAACACCTCCCGGCCCGGCGCGTTTGACGCCGAGCACCGGTCCGGCGCGGGTTGATGTTTGGCTGCCACATCCAAAGTCGCAAGAAGTCGCAAAAAATGACTGTTGGATCTTGTAGTGCAATGAATCATTGACATGTAGCGAGATTTTCGAAGCGGTACTCTGCGGTACTTTTTTTAAAAGTCTATTTGTGTGTGACATCAATTATGTGAAATTATATTTTCGTCTTTAAATCTTTGCGGTGCCAATACATCATAACCAAGTAAGAGTTCGCCATTTTCATGTGGTTATGTGTGTTCTGCAGACCCGGAGCTATCATTTGATGTATGTATATGTAGAATTCCTCCTCAAATTGTGATTGTTTTCGTGGATCAAAGATACGTTGTCGAAGAGTGCGGGGGACGAGTTCGGTCCAAACGATTCCGAAGTTCGTGTTTAAGCTGAGTTTTCGCCATGAAATAGCAATTGTGTTGGAAAACAAAGACCACAGCAATGTAGTATGATCATTTTTGAACAAATTGGTATAGGTTTCATTGCACATCCACAAAGTTCGATTTTTTACCCATGTCGTGCTAGACCTGGCGATCGGCCCAGTGTGCACCGGTCCGACTTTTCCGACTAGTCGGACCACTTTTTCGACTAGGCGGTGCCCTGCTGTGGCTCGCGGGGGCCCTGTTGCGACCGCGGGAGCCCCTGCTGTGGCCGCGGGGGCCCCTGTTGGGGCTCTCGGGGGCCCAGCTGCGGCCACGGGGGCCCCTGCTGCGGCTCGTAGGGGCCCCCGTTGGGGCTCTCGGGGGCCCTGCTGCGGCCAACTCGGACCAGTTTTCCTTACGCGTCGACGCCCCTGGGGCTTGGGCCCTATCTGATGAAAAGTGATGCACATTAGGATGTTGCACCTTTTTATTTTGAATCGACAATCCTTATTTGAAGCTTGCAATGTGTGGCGGGGGATGCCAAATGTCACCCACCGACTGCAGGGGTGCCGAATTTAGCGCGCGCCTTAAATACCATACGAGATAGCCCGCAAAATTTGGGTTTTCGCCTTCTTTGCGCCTTTGGTGCATTACGTGATCAGTTTTCACCTACATCGACGTGTTGGACAAACGCTCCTGTTCCAATGATTGAGTGCTTTGCGTAAAGGGTACCTTTTTGGGATCATATTTCATATTTTCAGGCGTCGCATTTTTTGCCATTTTGTTATGGGGAAACCCAAAGTCTTATTAGCGACCCGCCTCAGTCGTTAACCGGGACGAGTTCCCTATAAGCGTTTTTTTGTAATGGTTTGCCAAAATGCTCACAACAAATAAATAAATAGATATTGGGACAGAAAGTGAATAGATTTTAATAGAAAATTAAACAATCTCTCCGAAAATAAAGCCAGTTATACAGTGTCACCCATATGAGCGTGAGAAATGACGATTCAAATTAAGGGGGTCACTAATTAAGAACCTTACCCTAATTCCGTGACAAGTACAAGCTCCGTACCCTCAGGGTATCTTCAGCATACATTAACGAGTGTGTAAACAAAAATTGAGCTCGATGTGATTTGTCAGGCGGCGGCGGCCAGAGCTGAAGGTGTGAATATGCTAAACTGTTGATAATTTTTACTTAGACCTGGCATGTGATGTAATCAATGACCTCGAGTTCAATGAAATCAAGTTTTGCTTGACATTTTTTCCAGGGCTATCAGAAACCGTTTTAATTTTGACAATCAGACCAGTGGTTTCGGAAATAGGAGGAGGAATCTACAGAGCCTCCCCCCCCCCCACACACACACAACACACACGGTACTCGCGTTATGGAATATACCCTATTCATGCGCGGGTTAGCAACACTCATTAGCTCTGCATAAAATATTTTCGCTCAACTATGTAGCGTAGTAATTCACCATGCCCAGGGTGAGGCAGTCGACCTGGACGACTCACCTAGAAAGACTCCAGTGAGGACGAGAAGGCAGGCGGCGGCGCCGGCCGGCCGGCCGCTCTCCGCCATGGTGACCGACGCTGAGGTCACCGTCTGACCCCGTCCGACATCCCCGCGGAGCCGTGACCGGACCGCCCGGCCCGGAGTCCCAGGGCGCCGGCCGGGCCGCTCCGACCGCCACCGACCGCCGCCCCCGGCGGACCGCGCGCGTGGCACAGAGAGACGCTGACGATGGCCGGTGGCCGGACACCGGCGCCCCGCGGCGGCCGCTGGTTCGGTTAGGCTAGTCGGCGAGCGCACAGACACTGCTAGTCTCTTCACCCGGCCCTAGTGAGCGCCTCACGCAGCCTCGATTTGTCACTTGTCACGAGCTTGTCACTTTTAGCACTAGCTCATGAACGTCTCCGTCCGTTCACGATTGTAGCACTACATAGATGAGCAGCTACAGAGAGCCGTCAGCGAACTCCACGCTGGCTGTCACACTCCGTTTCTTGCGCTGTTGAATTGCCTCCGGGCCGTCGCAGCTCCCAGCAGTAGCTGCTCGGGTGGGCAGGTCGAGTCACGACGCGCTCCTGTCGGCGGCACCTGAGGGCAGTGGGTACTGGGTAGACGACAATCCCGTGAGACAGGGCAACGAAGCACTGTCAGACTGTTGTCACAAAACTGTCATGTGACACATAGAGACCAGTTAGACTGCTGTCACAACACTGTCATGTGACATACAGAGGCCAGACTGTGGGCGAACACTGTCATGTGACGCACAGAGGCCAGTCAGACTGTTGCCACAACACTGACAAGTGATATACAGAGGCCTTCAGACTGTTGTCACAACAACACTGCGAGTCTGCGACATAATACACCGGCCCCGGTCAGACCTGTCCCAGTGTCCCACAGCGCTTCACTGCCACCCCGGCGCCGGCGCCACCGATCACACAGACCGCTGTGACTCGGCTCCAACCGGCCCGGCCCGGCCGACTGTTGCATGCCAACGACCGTGGTAGCCGGCAACACATGGATTTTGCAGAGTTTTATATCGATATTACGGTAGTACCTAATGTCGGCCGAACGTTAGTAGTCCCACTCCTAAAATTATGATGACAACACTCGTCCATTTGGCCAGAGAGCCATAAATTCCGCGTCCGGGTTCCGTCTGCAATTGAGCCTGCACTGGCACTGTGCAGTGCGCCGGCTCATTTGCAAGCCTGCGAGCCACTCGGGGCCCCGGTCGTGGCAGGGTTAACGACTCCGTCCCCTCCGTAAATCGTGCTCCAGTGCAGTGTGTATGACATCGTTCACCCCGGCACCGACCAGCCGCCGCCTTCCGAGACCTTTTGAGCTATGTTACGAGCAACAGCGAACGGCGTGGGGGCGGTCTATAAATCAGCTTCCTGTCATTTTAATGCCAGCTCAGTGATACTTTAGCCTTCCCGTTAGCATCCTATCGAGCACTGCGTCCCTGGTTCCAGCCCGTCGCCGTCTCTCTGTTACCATCCAACGGCTCAAACGTCTTACCACCCTTTCACACCCTATGTCCTGTATCGGTCCCAGTCACAGGCACATCCCGGCTCCAGTCTGCAGCTCCAGCCCGGCTCCATTCTCAGTACCGCTGCGGTCAGTCACTGCCCAGTCTCCGCCCGACTCCAGATCGGCTCCAGCCCGGTCCCAGTTCTGCTCCAGCCCGGCTCCATTTCTGCTCCAGCCCGGCTCCATCCCTGCTCCAGCCCGGCTCCAGCACAACTCCAGCCCGGCTGTAGCTCGACTCCAGCCCGACTCCAGCTCGACTCCAGCCCGACTCCAGCTCGACTCCAGCTCAACTCCAACTCCGCTCCGGCTGATCACAGTCCTGCTCCAGACCGGCTCCAGCACGACTCCAGCTCTATTCCAGCGCGACTCCAGCCCGGTTCCTGCTCGGGTCTGGTCGGTTACTGCACCCGACCCCGAGTCTGCAGGTGAGCCGGGCGCGCATTGATCTGTCGGCACCGGGCACCGAGCACGAGCGTACCGGGCACCGAGCACGAGCGTACCGGGCACCGAATGGGCCGGGCACCGGGCGGACCGTGGGCACCGGGCACCGAGCACGAGTGTACCAGGCACAGGGAGGGCCGGGCACCGAATGGACCAGGCACTAAGCGGGCCGAGCACCGGGCACCGAGCACGAGCGTACCGGACACAGGGAGGGCCGGGCACCGAATGGACCGGACACTAAGCGGGCCGAGCACCGGGCACCGAGCACGAGCATACCGCACAGCGTGCGGAGCGGGTAGGTACTGATTTGAATGGGCCAGGCACCAAATAGCCCGGGCACCGGAAGGACCAGACATCGGACGGGCCGGGCATTGAGTGGGCCCGGCACCGGGCACCGAGCACGAGCATACCGCGCAGAGTGCGGAGCGGGCACCGACTGAATGGGCTGGGCATCAGGAGGGCCGGGTAATAGGCGCGGACCGGGCACCGAGCGGGCGATGAGCCGAGCGGGCCAGGCACCAGACGGGCCGGGCATCGAGTGCGCAGGGCACCAGACGGGCCAGTATCCTTACCAACACATGTCACAAGGAAAAAAAAACAGATTAATAGCACACACTAGTCTTAGCGTGCCTTTCATTTGTCTCAATCGCCATGAATAAATGACGATTGCATGCGGTCGTTTGCATTATTCGATGCTATTAGCATCGTTCGATTAGAGCTAAATCGGCGAATTTACCAACAACCATGACGAGTGCGCGATGGCGTGTTAAAAATAGCAAGGCTGCATCCAATAAAGTAACACGGAAGCGGCATACCTATTATCTAGCTGTTACCTACTATGCTTACAAACTACCATAAAACTTTTGCTCAACCACGACAATTTGCGAAATGCTTCCAAATAAATCACAAAGCCGGTATGGCAGTGGTGTGCTGCCATTTGTATTTGCCATATACATACCTATTGATGAACTTAATGTTATCCTATCCGTTACATTTTCATTACTCATTAGCACGGTCTCTAGTATGTGTGTAATTTAATATCGAACGATATCTCTCTAGTTTCTCTATGATAGTCTCACAATGCACAAACAAGACGATGCATTCATTTTTACTTTCTCCCAAGTCCAAGATCAGAGGAGGCGGTACGTTATATGAAGGCATATGACTGAGTGTCGCCAGCCGGACGGACGGACGGATGGACGGACGGCCGACGGGTGTAGTGCGGGGATGTGTTGTGCTGCTTCCTTCCATCACAGTTGGCTGGCTTCGCGCCCCGCGCGGCCTGCCCCAACACGTCAATAAATCGGCCGGTACTAACGCGATAAGTTGGCCGCCGGACCGACGGCTACTCACTCAGAAATCAGTCTGACATATGGTCAGCCCTCTCAGTCTACTTCATATAGAGACAGAGCCCGAGAGAAGTGAGAGAGGAAGCAGCAGGCAAAGAAAGTCAGTAAGAAAAGGAAATAAGCAAGTAAGAAAGTAAAAAAAGACAGCGAAGTGCAAACGAAAAAGTGAGCGGTGCAGAACGAGAGAGAGAGAGAGAGAGAGAGAGAGAGAGAGAGAGAGAGAGAGAGAGAGAGAGAGAGAGGATTTAGCTGAAGGTAGATGACGCACAATGCCGACGCATAAGAACAGCCGATCGCCTAAAGTTGACCCCTGTAACTTTATAACCAATAAGCTTCTCTCTTTGTCAACTGAAAGAGGGGTGAGAACAACGATCAAAATCACCGATACCTACACAGTACACACAGTTCACCCTATGTGCTGTGTTATCCGTCTCAATATACATATATAGTTAGGTACACCGCAAATATATGGAGAGGGAACACTCGACAGCTTTAAATCACGAATTTCAAACAGCTGCGCCAGTAGCAGCGGAGCACCTTCAATTAAGGGGGACACTACCGAATTTTGGTCCCATTCTTTCCATGCAACGCCCATAGGGCTAATGTTAAAATGGCGGTGCCCCCCCCCCCCCCGTTTCACCGCCTACTAGCTGCGCTACAGTCGAGACGGCCGGCAAAGTATGTAGGAGCATCTACCTGCACGCATAGACTGTGCCGCACATCACCAATGTTCTGCGGCGCAGTCTAACAAGCAGTCAGCGCCCTGAGAAGACCGATTGAAGCTTGGGATAGGGGAGAGGGAGAGGGATGGAGAGGGAGGGGGAGAGAAAGGGAGAGCGAGGGAGGGAGACAGGCAGACAGACAGACAGACAGACAGACAGACAGACAGACAGACAGACAGACAGACAGACAGACAGACAGACAGACAGACAGACAGACAGACAGACAGACAGACAGACAGATAGACAGACAGACGCATTATTATACGGACGGACACCTGTTATCAGGCCCGCCATCACTGTCTGTTTTGTATGCTCCAGAGCACTCTGTTGAATGGCCGATCTTCTCGCCCGCCCAATATCGACCATGATTCCGCTCATATCTACAGCCGACGCATTGTTGAGTTAATGCTTCTGTGGTCAGCTGATATGTTGGCTGTGGTTTCCGAGCGACCCGTGCGTCCACACACTAAGGCCCGAGCAAACAAGGCCGCGGGATGTGTGTGTGTGGACACAACAGAGGAGCAGAGAGGATTGAGGGAAGGCTAACGCGGAACAGGAGCAAGGAAAAGTGAGGCAGAGGGAGAAGACAATAGAGGGAGGGACGGAGGAAGAAGAAAGAGGAGGGAAAGAGAGTGTTGTCGTTACAACAATCACGAATGTTGAGTTAATGAATACATTACGTTAAATGCGAAAAATTCCCATATTACGAATACGAAAAGCGAAGGGAAACGAATCGTCGTAATGCACTCAAAAACCTGTATTTTTCGTCGAAACCCGTCGGAACGTTCAGTAAAATCATAAATAAAATATTAACGTTCCTCGTGCGCTCCAATCGCTGTCGCCTTTCGTTGCGTCGGCGACAGAGAGGGAGAGGAGGGAGATGAAAGACACCTGCAGCGTTTGTGGTTTGGTGGAACTGTCTTCTGGACGGCCTCTCTCGCTGATAGCTGCGCTGGGCGCGGACCGACCGACCGCTATCAGTGGTTGGTGACAGCTCGATAGCCGGTCCGAACGACAGCTCCAAACACCCAGAGGTCAGAACAAAGCTCCCTGCGTCAGGACCAGATACGCTTTACGGTCCTAGCTGCGGGAGGTGACATTTGTATAGCACTACGGCAGGCTGGGGATTATTTGTTTTCAGGCTTCCAAACCGTCTGTATCAATGCAGCAATGGACAGGCTGGCGTACAATAATGTGACTCACATTGAGGCATTACTGGGATTTCGGAATCTCGCCAGCACAGATGATGATTGATGATGCGCCGTCACTTGTAATCAGCCGAGCAGTTAATATAGTTCGTCATGGTAGTTTTAGTATAATGTGAACTTTCCTCGTAAAATATTAAGTACCAAAAAGGATATATTGATATTGATATTTCGATCACAGATCTTCGTTTTTTGGTAGCAATTCCGACGAAGACCTGTGATCGAAATATCAATATAAATATGTCCTTTTGGTAATTCATATTTTACGAGGAAAGGTACTAAAACTGTTTTTACTAATGTTCCTCGCACAAGCGCTAAACAATATTAAACATAGTTTGCTAATGTGT